CAGATCACCCTGGTGGGGCTCGCCTGTCCCCATGGTCAGAGGGCAGAGTGAGGCCTGCAAGGTGAGGCCCAGAAGGGAAGGAGGGGCAGAAACCCAGACAGGAAGGCAAAGCAGGAAAACTATGCCACGGGGCCACCCACCCCTGCCTGCCTGCCTGTCCTTCCAGTGGGCGCCAGCCAAGGGCTCCCCCAGGTGGGGCTCAGGGCCAAGCTGTGGGCCCTCTGCTCCCCTCCCTTTGCAGCCTGTCCTGCCACTCACCAGGCTTGCACTCCGGAATTATGGCCTGGAAATTGGTTCCAACGCGGATCATGCTGTCTGTGGACCCAGGGGGAGGCAGTCAGAGGACTCCAGGGAGGGAGGACAGGAGGATGTGGCGGGGGAGGTGGCCGGCCTGGGGTTCTCCTTCCTGACCACCCAGGGCTCCCACCTGCCAGGAGGCTCACTTTTCCCTGATCTTGCCCTCAGTTACCCTCAGCCAAGAAGGTACTGGAAGAGGGACAGACCCTGCCTCGCCATAACCGATGGTGGGTGGGGGAGTGGAAGGTGGCGGAGAGGACATGGGGCCAGTTTTAGAGCCCAGGCCAAGCAGAGCCCTTTGTTCTGGCTCGGGGGTGGAGGGCTGCCCCTGGACCTGGACCACAGCCCTGCGGGGAATCCAAGGCTCCTCCCCGCCACAGGAGCCTCACGGCTCCGTGTGAAGGTCTTTCCAGCCGCTGTCCCAGCCAGACCTCAGTCCCCTGCAAGGTGGTAAGGGGCGAGGGGCCCACTCTGTGTAGGGCAGGACGCCTGAGTCCCTCAGGCACGGGGCAGGGCGGGGGAGAGCAGGGCCGCCTCCTCGGCGGCTAGGGGCCCAGCCTCCGGATTCCCCGCGCCGGCAGCCTCGGGTCTGGGGCGAAGCACGGCAGAGGCTCCAACCCAGGAGGGCAGAAACCATCAGCATAACACTCCCGTGGCCGGCAACTCGCCTCCCGCCCCACTCCGTGCCCCCCGACCGGTGCGCTTTTAACCCTAGGCCGCCGGGCTCACCGTGCGAGTGCTCCTCCTCGCTGCTGTCATCCTCCGAATGGGGGTGTCCGCCGTTGGGCGCCGTCTTGGCCCGGCTGCGGGACAGGATCCCTGAGCCCGCGCTCGGCTTCTCCATCACGGAGGGCATTACCCCGCCCAGCTGCCCCGGGGGGCGCGGGAGCCTTAGGAGAGCAGCGGTGGTTGCCGCGCTCGCCTCGAGTGCCGTGCCCGGCCCGGCCTGGAGGGGTCGCCACTCAGGCTACAAGAGGCAGGAGGTCAGCGACTAGGGCTCGGCGGAGCGGGAGCCCCTGGGGCAGCCCAGCGCTCTCCGCGACCCCCACGGGCGAGGGCGTCAGAAAAGTTTGTGCAGAAGTGGGGTACGCGGGGGATGAGCGCAAGGTCCGATGCGACAGGGGCACGCGCGCTCTGTACGCTCCACGGGATTGGGGCTCCCCCAGAGGGGTCGGGCGCCCTGCCCTCGGGGCGTCCCGGAGCTCCACCGCCCGCCTGCCCACGCAGTTCAGCGGGAGGGTGCTGCAGCGCAACTGGCGACCCCACGGTCTCTGCGCTCGTCGGCTGCACGGGGATGCCCCAATCCCCGGGCGGGGAGCCCTGCCCCGACCAGACCCCAGCCTCACAGGGCAGCTGGCGGTGCCCCGGCGCTGACTGCGGCGGCGGCGGCGGGACGGCGCGCCTGGCGCACGGCTCTGGGGCAGAGTTGCCGGGAGGCTGGCGGAGCGCACCCTTCCCGGCGCACTCGCTCTCCCTGCCGCGCTCGGGCTGCTGCCCGCCCGCTCGCCGCCGCCGCTCGCTCCTCGCGCACACAATGAAGCTGCTGGCAGGGAAGTAGTGCCGGCTGCGGCCTCAGCACCCCTCCCCCAGCCGATGCCTCCGCCAGCTGAACATCTGGCCCTGGGGTGGGAGGGAGGGCCCGGGGGCGGGGCCTAGGGGCCGGGGCTGGACCTCCAGGGGGTGGGGTCAGGACCAGGGTGGGGAGCGCTTCCTTCTGAGGGCCCCCGGGACTACCAGACTTACCCCTGGGGGAGACCCCACTGCCCCCCAGGAGCAGCCAGAGGTCAGCCCCAGCCGCGCGCACACCAGCTCCGTACACCGGTGGGCTCGGGTTACTGCCGCCTGCCCCGGGGGCCCTGAGGCCGCCTGCCCGCCCGCCCGGGTGGAGCCCAGCTTTTCCTTCCATTTCCCTTCCTGCCAAGGAACTCCCCGCCCCCCCTTCCGCAGGGGGGACCCCCCTTCATGCGCCCTTGGGGGCCAGGGCGGATGGGAGGCCGGAGTGGCGAGGAATGAAGTCCTCCAAGAGCTACCGGACCAAAACCTGGCTTCCAGTGTATCTGTGTTTCCCCAGAGGCCACCCCAATAAAGAATTAAAGCAGTTAAAGATAACTGCTGCAGTGTGCACCCCAAAATAGTGGCAAAAGGGGCTGAGGGATGGGAATGTGGAAGGTGCAGGGGAAGTCTGGACTCCAGGGAGGAGGAGGAGCTGGGTCTCCTCCCCACCGGGTTCGCTGTCACCCCCGCCAGGAGCAGCATCCCCCTCCCCCAGGACAAGCACGGGCAGAATGACAGACCGGGAAGCGGGTAGAGCTGCACAGACGGAGATGGGGGAGGGGGTGGGCAGAGACTTTCAAAGCCAGACCCAGCCACCCTGCCAGGCACACAAAGAACCAGCGCACACACCGGCGGCGGCTCTGAGCCTGCGGGCTGCTCCCGTGCCCGTCCCCGCCGCCCAGGGCACGTGCTGCAGTGCACACAGGCCGAAGCCCCCGCCCGCCGCCCCTCCCACCCGGAGTCCCAGATTCCTAGACACACCTCCACCCGGGCACACCCCGCTGTGCCCAGACAGAGCTGAGCCTGCACTCGCACCCTCCTCTCCTTTCCCTTCCTCAGCCACACTGTAATCAGATTCCTAAATTTAGAAGCAACCCAGGGCCCAGCCAGGGATCCCCACCCCCACCCGCTGCGTGCGGCCAGGCGGTCCGGGTCCTGCGGTCCGTCCACGACCTGGCTGGGACTGTCTGGTCCTGGGGGCTTCTGTGGGAGGACAGGCAACATCAGGCACGACCCACCCTGCTGCGGCGCTGTCGGGCCACATGGGGCCACCCAGCCTGCGGCCACGTTGCCCGTCACACCTCCGGCCAGAGCTACAGGGCTTTTTTTCCTCCTCTTAAATCATGGATTGGGCATCAAGCCCCAGGGTGGGGAGGTCTGGACAAAAGAGGAGAATGAATGAGCCAAGGGCTGGTCTGAGCTAAGGGGATCCACCACGGGGTGAGAAGCTCCCCAGCCTAACAACTCCTGAATGGCAGGGTACCACCTGGGCCCCCAGCACCTCCAGTCTTCAGGGAGGCTCTCATCTCTGTCCCCTCCTGCCAGGCAGACAGCCATCGCTGCACACAACTCTCCTTATGATGGAGTCTTCCGTCTTGCCCACGCCAGCCCCCATTAGACCTGGCCTCAGGTGGGTCTCCCAACCCCCTACCCTTGTCTCCTTTCCGTATTCACACCTACGGTCGGGACCCAGGCCCTCAGCCCCAGGCCTCAACATCACGCTTATTCTGGCCTCCCTCCTCCAGGGCTGCCCCAGGTACTCCCAGCCACCGGGTTCGGTCCTTCCTCAGCACCCCTCCCCCAACAAGACCTGATTCTGCTCTCACTCCTCCCTGGAGTCCGAGCTGAGGGCCAAAGGAAGATTCTGCTCTGGAGGTGGGGGCAGGGAGGGGAGGTTTATTTATTCCCGGGAGCTGGAGAGGGGGTAGTCCCTAGGCCCTGATATGATGAGGCTTCAGCCTAGGAGGTAGGACAGGATATCCTAGGAGGGGTATCCTAGGAGTTTGGGGGCGACTGTGGGGGCCACAGTGTCCAGAGAGAAGGCACATTCCTAGCGAGAAAATCCCTCCCCAAGGGGCAGTCTGAGGGCTAGGAGGGGGAGAGGCAAGGCCCCACCCTCCCACCTGCTGCAGCCGCCCCCTCCCCAGCTGGCCCCCTCTTTTGTGCAAACCCACACAAAGGACAAGGGGCCCCGGCCGGCCTGGCCATCTGCTCCCAGAAGCCTGAAGGCTCTTAAAGAGACAGCACCCACTCCCTGCCGCCCTGGGGCTGTAGGGCGGGGTGGAGCAGCATGCCACAGGACCTGGTCTCAGCGGTACCCCAGATCCCACCCACTTTTCTTGGCTCTGCTAACCCCCTGGGTTAGAATCATCCGCCCTCCAACGCCGGGGCGCAGAGGTGCCACGTGGCCAGGAGCATGGGGGTATGGAAGGGGAGCGAAGGAACGGCAGCCCAGGAACCAGCCCCTCCTCTCCTCCAGCCTCTGCAATGGAGGGACCAGCCGAGCTCACAGCACAACACCAGGACGGGGCCCCCTGAGGCCACCCCTGAGCTGTGAGAGGGCTTCTGGTCTCCGGGAATACCCTCCCTGCCCTTGTCACTGGACGAGTTTCCACACCCTTCTCAGGGAGGATGACAACGCCTTCTTTTTGAGGGCTGCAGGCCAGGATGCAGGCCGCTGTGCAGCAGCCCTGGGAGGGGGGTCACACTTATTTCCTGCGTTTTCCAGGTGAGGAAACTGAGGCTTTGGCCTCCACAAAGCCTCTGGCCATGTCTGAAGCCTGCCTACCTCCCCTAAGCCAGATGAGGCTCCTCAGCCCTGAGGTCCCAGGGAAGCCAGACCCAATCCCCACTCAGTGCCTTTGCCACACTGCTAGGGACACAAGTTTACATTATTTGTGTGATTGTTTATTGCTTGCCAGTCTCTCCCTGGGCCATGGGCAGGGAGGGATTGGGTCCACTGTGTTCACTGTTGTGTTTTCAGTGCCTGGCATACAGTAGGCACTCAATATCTGCTGAATGCACAAACACCAGCAGCCCAAAAAGCTTTACTCTTCCCTGGGCTTCTCTGTCCTCTGCCTGTTGGTCATCTTGCCTCCTCCCTCCTCAAGGTGAGGCAGAAGGGACAAAGGTTGAACAGGGATGCTGGGAGAGAAAAGGAGGGTGACCTTGAGCAAGCCACTGGGCCTCACCTCACATCTCCCTCCTCCCAAAGGCGGGGGCAGCTCCAGCCAATCCTGAACCCGCAGCCCTGCCAGACAGACTGGGACTGTCCCAAGCTCTGGCCCACGCGAGGCTGGCCTCTGCGGTGTGGTGCCTGGGACCCCGGCCAGGCCCTCAGTGGCCACAGCCAAGGGGCTAAGCTTGGGGAGGGAGGTAGGCAGGCAGCAGGCGCTGGGGTGGAGGAGGGAGGGAGGAAGGGTGGCAGGATCTAAGCAGAAACCTGGCTGAGCAGCTGGGGGAGTTGTGGGTAGATCTTCCCTGAGCCTGGAGGCCTGGAGGCCTGGAGGGGAGATGAAGCTGGGGACGGCAGGAGAGGGGCTACCACATGGAAGAGCATGGGGAGCTCCCTCCAGGGCCCCCACCCCTCAATCCTGCCCAGGCAGGAATTTGATCCCTCCCTCCCCCCAGGCCCCCAGGGCCCAGAGGCAGGCTGTGTGGTCCAGGGCACTGCCCTCCCCCTCAGTTACTAATCCCCTGGACTGGCCTCCACTCCCACCCAGCACTGTGAAGAGGCTGAGAAGGTGACAGAGGTGACAGTCTGGTGCTTGGCACCGCCTCAGCACTGCAGCCTCGTGAGGAGAGGGCTAAAGGAGGTGAGCCGGACACATCTGAGTGGAACGGTGGGGAGCGGAGGGCAGAATAAAACAGGCAGGTCAGAAAGGAGACCCCAGGCTTCCTGACACCCACGCGGAGGAATTCTGACTCCCTGAGCAAAGCAGGAACTGGGGAGGAAGGGTCAGCAAGACCTTAGCTGACAGAGGCACAAGGAGGCGGCAGGGGCTCCCCAGACCCAGGAGCCCACTCTGTTGCTCTGGAAGCCAGGAAGGGGACCTCCTTATGCCCTCACCTCAACACTCTGCGCCCCCTGGTGGTGACAGCGTGAACCAAAGGGTCCCACCCCACGCCTGGCCACAAATGTTCTCCCAAGGCTGAGCCTGGCACCCTGAAGAGTCCATTCTCCTGGGGTAAGTGCATGGGGTCAAAGTCTCCACCCTTGGTCCAAATGGGCCATTTGGAGTTACTGAGGTTTAGATCCAATCACCAGCCAGTCTCACTGGCCCAGAGCCACCAAGAAGCTCCCTGAACAGTCAGGTGGAGCCGAAACACCTAGAGAAATGGCAGAGGTGACAGGAACAGCAGGAAAGTGCAGGAGCAGTGCAGACCAAGGAACTCAGACCTGAGATGAGCCCTGGTTTGGCTTCCCCTTTGCTGTGTGGCCTGAAGTGAGTTACTTGGCCTCTCTGAGCCTCAGCCCCCACCATCTCTCAAAAGGAACAATAATTCTGACCTCATTTAATGGTTGGGAGGAACCAACATCATCCCAGATGGAATGTAATTAGACCCTCCATCAATGCTGGTTTCCTTCTGAAGCAGGGGTTCCCTCTTGTACACCGCCAGCAGGGCTGGAATTCCCTCACTGCTCTGCGAGGCAGCCCATGCTCTGGACCAGCCAAAGGCCAAAGCCAGCCACGACTCCTGGGTCTGATCTCTGGAGCCAAAAGCTCTTCCTTTGTGACATTTGGTACTTGACATTTCTTTTCAGATCATCCACTGCTCTGGATTCCTGCCTTCAGTCTGATCTCTCCAATCTATCATGTACACGTAGCTGGACACGGATTCTTAAAGACTGCTTTGATCATGTTCCCCCCACAACCACCTCCTGCTCAATAAACTTCCATGGCTCCCTATCGCCTTCTGAGCAAATCTGGACCTTCTTCTCCTCTCCTGGCCCAGTACTCAAGCGCTTTCTAGCCTGTCTCTGGTCCAGCCAAACAGGTCTGCTTACCAGCTGCTGAGCCCTGCCTGGTGCTCCAGAATGCCCCATCCACCTTGCAAACCCTGGCCCAGCCCACCTATTTGCATGCCTCTGGCACCATGCCCAGCCTATCCCTTGGGACTGCTGGCTCCTACAGGGAGCTCTGCTCTCCAGAGATTCAGCTCCTTCCTCTCACCTCCAGTGTAGACAAACCTTACCTTCCCCCCTTCAAGGCCAGCTTCATTCCCAGGCTCCACATCGCCCACCACACACACACACACACACACACACACACACACACACACAATCACTCTCTCTTTGCCCCCCCCCACAACCCCTCTGGTCCTCTCCCTGTCTCTTTCCCCTCAGCAGTTCAGCCTGCTTAAGTCCCTCCATCCTAAATCACCCCCCACCCACCTACACCGACACATGCACACCAGCACATACACCCTCCCTCCACCCCTTGTTTACCTTTAGCTACTCTTCAGCTTTAGCTATTGCTGCCTTCTCTTTTTTTTTTTTTTTTTTAAAGCTGGGCTTCTTAAAAGATGTGTTCACACCCCTTTATCCTTGTCTTCACCTCCCACTCATCCCCACCCCACTGCAGTGCTGCCTCACCCTCTGCCACTCCATGGAGACTGTTCTTGCCAAGGTCACCAGCGCCTATTATCTCTAAACCCAAAGGACGTTTGGCTGGCATGATCTCACTCCACCTCTGGGCAGGACTGAACAGAGAGGGCCACCCCTGCTCCTGGCTCTGAGCTCCCTACCCACTCCCCTCCTGCCTGCCTCCAAACCCTTACTATTGATCCTTCAGGCCTGGTCCACATCCTTAACTCATTGGCCTATGGACACTCCAACCTCCTTCCCCAGCTCACAACTCCCACCCTGGGCTCTAGACTCCCACATCCAACCAACAACTGCCCTCGGGATTTCTGCCCTTGGTTATCGCTCAGAAGCCTCAAGTTCACCCTGCCCAAAGCGGATCTCAGCCTCCTGAACACCCATTTGCACTGCCTGTCCCCCTTACCCCCGTCCCCATCCCCATTCTCCTCTCCACCAGTACCCAAAGCAGAAACTTGGGAGTTGCTCTGGACTCCTCCCTCTGCTTCACTTCCGTGTCAATCAGTATCCAGTTTCTGGCAAGCCCCTCCCCCACAGCCCCGTACCCCCCCCAACCCCGTTACTGAGACAGCCTTCCAGCTGGCCCCCCTGCCTCCTCTAGCGCAGCCCTCTACACTTTATTCAGCAGCCAGTGCGATCTTTCTCTAATCCAATCTCTTCAAGTCAGTCCTCTGCTGCTCATTACCCTCGGATTAAGTTCCACCTCCAGAGCATGATTTAGCTCCATCAAAATCTGGCCTCCAGACATGCATTCCCCCGTTGCCTTTCTCCTTCGGGGATCCATGTGTTGCTGTGGGTTGATCTCACCCTAATGTCAGCCTTTCCCAAGGCCCTGGACACCATGATTGGTTCAGAAAGTGGGCTAGTGCCCTAAACTGGCCCAATCAGTATGTTACAAACATGGGTGAAGCTCAGGAAGCTGAGCCAGGAGTGTTGGTTGCCATCTCTGATCCCTAAGGAAAGCTAAGGCTGTGGATGGCACCCCAAAGAAATAGAAAAAAAACTGGCTTCTCAGGGACATCACTGAGCTGCTGGATCAACCTCACCTGAAGCCACTGGGCCTCCAAACTTTTTACGTATATAAACCAATATATTCCCTTGATTGTTTGAGCCTGGTTAATTTCAGTTTTCTGTCATCTGCAGTCACAGCTTCTGAAACAATCTCTCTCTCAACACTTGCCAACTCGAACTTATGGTTCAGCCATACTCAACAACGTTCATTTCCCCTGGAGTCTGTCTATACATGCAATTCCCAATACCTGGAATGCCAATTCCTTTCCTTCTTGACCAGTTCTCATTTGCCTTGCAGAATTAAGTTCAGCTGTCACTTTGTCTAGGACATCTGCTCCCCATCTCAGCACACTGATCACACTGTAATGTCACCACCTACCTGTTTACCTATCTATTCCCTGTTTACCTGTCTATTCCCTCCTCATCAAGTCTGGGAGCCCAGAGAGGGCAGAGATTCTGTCTCACCTGTGCATCCTCACACAGCTGCACAGCAGCTGGCACTCAGTAGATGCTCAACAATGACTGCTGAGTCAATCAGCTCAGTCTCCCAGACACCCTCTCATCAGGAGAGCCCTCCTAACTGCCCCAGCCCCTCACTCCATAGGTCCCTACACTGCCAGGTCCAGGGAAATTAGTTCTGCCAAAATTCCACTGATTCTACCGACATTTTAGGAGTCCCATGTAGGCAAAGACTCACAAAATAATAGAAAAAGCCAACTTCTTATGATAATATAACAGCCAACTTATTTGAGTGCCTACTATTTCTTTCAAACTACATCACCAGACCCTAGATTAGTACAGGTACATAGTAGATGCTCCATAACAATTATTGAATAAATTAGTGGATGAATAAACAAATGAATTGAATGCTTATAGGTATTAACCACTGTGTACAAAAGGCCTTGTGTAAATTGACTCCTTTTCCCCCACAGTGGCCCTAGAATACCTAGTGGGCACTCTAACTATCTTCATTTTACAGACGAGGAGCAGAAGCTTCAGAAGATGACCTGTCTAGGGTCACACAGCTTGAAAGTGGCAGAGCTGGGACCAATCTCAAGCCAGCTAGTACTGGAGCCCTGTTTTTCATTTCCCTGGGTCCACATCCTTTCAGTGGAGATGCATTTTGCTGTTCCTCCTATAGAGGAGAAATAGCCATTCAATGGTGGCTTGATCAAAGCAGACATTTTACTGTCTTTGCTAAGCTGTGTGGAGGTCCGTGCCCGTCAAGACCCCAGGGGTTTCCCAGTTCTCAGCTCTGCCTCTTCCTTGCCTCAGAAGGTCCTTTCACAGTCATGAATGGCTGCAGCTGCTCCAAGCATCCCACCCTTTGAGGACAATTTGCAGAGTGGGAGGGGAAAGGCATAGGCCCAAGGCTTTTTCCTTGGCATCTTTCTTTTATCAGAGAGAACACCTTTCCTAGAAATCCCTGAATAGGCCCATGCCCTTCAAACCAATCTCTGGCAAAGGATACCCATGCTTGGATTGGACCCATCAGGTCTGTGCTCCAGCACTCTTGCCATAACATCCGGGGATCCCCACCCATCACCGAGCGAGCGCGGAGTTGGGCTCTATTAGCAAAGATTAAGGCAGCCTGGTCCCCACTGCCCACCCCCTCCCCCTGACACAGCACCCTCCCTGCATTTCGCATTTAGAAATACTTACTGGCTGTACTATAAACAAAAGAAAAGGGCCATGGTTCCCTTTCTTAGCAGACATGGGCTCTGGACCCAAAGTCATTGTTCCCGGGTACCCACCTTTCCTAAGATGAGAACCAACAAAGTGGGCTGCAGCTCCTCGTGGAAAGCAAGCTCATCAGCCCCACTGGTGAGTCAGCGCGGACAGACAACCTGGGAAAGACAGACAAGTTGGTGGGTTTGAACTATTGCATCGGTTAGATCTATGCAGTCATTCATTCAACGGGTGTTCATTTTCATCGTCTCCTCCATCTCCCTTTCTTCTGCAAAGCCTGAATCAGCCCATATTATGGGCAGATTTGCCTGTAGACCGCTGATGAGGACTCTGCATCTGTACCTTGCTTCAGCAGAAAGAATGCCCGGAGCGGCTGGTGATGTCTGCCATGAGCACAAAACGGGTAGTGGGAGGCAGAAAGAAGGAAACAGGCCAGGAAACAGAACAAATGACCGGCAGAAAGACATTGGCCCTAAAAAGGGGGTCCTGGGACATTATAGGTTTAATTGTGTCCTCCCCAAAATTCATATGTTGAAGTCCTAACCCCTAGTACCTGAGAATGTGACCTTATTCGGAAATAGGGTCTTTATAGACACAGTCAAGTTAAAGCAAAGTCGTTAGAATCCAATATACAGTGTCCTTTCAAGAAGGGGAAATCTGAACCCAGACAGCCATACAGGGAGAATGCCACCTGAGCGTGAAGACGCTCACCCACAAGCCAAGGACAGCAGCCTGGCACATACTTCCTCACAGCCCTTAGAAGGACCCAGGCCTGCCAGTCCCTAGACTTCAGACTCCGGCCTCCAGAACCAGGAGGCAATAAATTGCTGTTGCTTAAGTCGCCCAGTCTGGGGTACTTTGTTGCCCAGCAGCCCTGGGCAACATCCAGGGGGCAGCAGCCTCTGGGCACTGGGGTCTGTTCAGATTGAGCATGACTTACCTGGACAAAGATCTGAAGGGGGCTGTAGGTAAAACTAATATTTCCAGAATATCTCACCTGGCTTTGGTATATCTGCAGATCAACAGGCGCTCAAGGGGGGAGAGAAGTATGGTTTTAGAGCATTTGCATCTTCCTCCTGGGTGGAGAGAAGCTCATCTCCATATCAATGGGTGATTACCTGGGCAACCGAGGGCATGTCTGAACCTGAGAGGTTAAGGGTAGGGGGCTGGCCTGCCTACTGGTTTCTTCCAGAGCAGAGGAGAAAGACGGCCCTGGACTGCAGTTTGTAAGCAATAAACGGGTTTTAAACTTCATTTCTCCCTTTGACTGGTTTCTGTTTTTAGAGGTATTTTGCCCCGGAATTTCCTCTCTCCGGACTTACAGGGGCCTTTCCTGAAGGCAGCACATCTCAGCCCCTTCTCCCCCAGTGGGCCCCTCTCAGGGCCGTGGCCTCCCGGGCTGTAAGGGATAGGTAGGCCGGATGACCCCCTGGCCCCTCCCAGTCCCAACAGTCTAGCAGCCTCTTCCCTGCCTGGGACCCGTGAGGCCGGCTGTCAAGGCTAAACCCAGTGGTGCTGTACAATAGACGACCCCAAAGGTTCTGCGAGTCCGAATCTCAGGAGTGATTTCCCTGGGTGGTTGTCTCAGGGTCTCCCATGGGGTTGCTCTGGGCTTCAGTCATCTGAAAGCATGTCTAGTGCGGGGCAGTCGTCTTCCGAGGTGGCTCACTCACCTG